GTGCTAATAGGGGGCAATAACTATTATACTCCTCCATTTTGGCATGCTTGTTAATGTGGATTTGGTTTTGGATGTTTCCGTATTTGTTGTGTTAACTAAAACTTGACCCTTATTGCAAGTTATGGTACAACCACCATATCTCGACATGATCAAATTATTTTAAAAAGTTAACTTACTTAGTTAGGTGGTTGCAATTTTTTTTTACATTTGTCCAATGAAAAGTTTATGAAAGAAGCAGGACGGATGCCATGATTCAAGAAGTGAATTGAATCTACACAACATGATCAACAGCAATTCTAACTAGAACTATGTCATTTTGCTAAAAGAAATCATGAGTATACGTCATTTTGCTAGATTCATATTAGTATTGCCATATTTTATAGTGAAATTTAGCTACAACAACATTTCTTTGTATACTATTTTGATAAGCATGACTTTGTCTTGATTATTAGTAACCCATAATACGCATTGTCTGTGACAATTTCCATACACAGTTCTTTTATCACCATTCGATCAGAGTCTATTTTACCTAAGGATATAGTTCAAGTTTCTAGGCGAGTACATATTATCATTAATTAGCTCTCATGATGGTGCTTGTTACTTCCAACATTATGAGGTTAACATGTGAGTGAGAAATTTAATACGTTTTTATATGAACATGGTCAAAACTAGAGAAGTTTGACTTAGGATAAGAGTATAATTACTTACAATTTGAAACGGATGGAGTATACAGCTTCTAAGTTATTTGATTGGCTCCGACAATGGTGGCTTGTTTCATAGTAATGTGTCCTATGCATTTGTCTATTAAAATTTTGAAAAATGTGGGGCCATATCAATTAAATTTTAAGCAAAAACTAAATATATCACATTTTGGTTCCAATATAATTGGACAGATATAGGCTCTAACTCCCATTAGCATGGCCTCGTAAATGTGGAAATGTACCTTTATTTCACCTTCGGTATGGAGTGTGTGAATTTTGATTGATGAATCCCTATAACACGCATTTGTATGCTAATGGTTGTATTTCCATACGAGAGATGTTACTTTGTCCATTTCTACTGGTCATAATACGTTCGACTATCCTTATAACTTAACCATGTGTTAGGAGATCAGTCATTCATTCAGGTAGAAGGGAATTACAAATACCATGTCTACACTTAAAGATAAACAAAATCCCTTAGACTACTAAAATAATAATAATAAACTATACCATGTTGGCCAAAGCTCATCTCTGATAGGTGAACACATACATTGCCAATGCTTGTCATTGTTACCATTTGTCACCACAACATGAATGCGAGCATATATGCTGAGATGGAGACTCACACCCAAGTGTGTAGCTTCTATGACAGGGTCTCTAACCAACTAAGCTATGTTAAGTTTACCATGCCTTTTCATTATACGAATTTTATTTCTTCTTCTTTTTCCCTTTTTAGGTGTCCCAGTTATTGCCCTTATTATCTTCAAACCTAACAATGATGCATACACGTCAAAATGTTGTTTGAAATACTATATGCTAACTATCATATTCTTTTGTGGCATACATAGTTAGTTGTGCAACAAAATAGTAGCAAACAAAATGAAAAACACGTCTTTGCCTTAAAATAGAAGTAATACAAGTTATTTGTATAAATATTTACTAAAGTAAAGAATCAGCTATATATATATATTATCATAGTATAGAAATTGACGTCCACAAATGTGCACACACCTACCCCTGTGACTACCTTTAAAATATTATACTGGTCGATCTTAAGATAGATGAAGTAAAAGACCACATGGCCGACATGCATGTTGCCTACCACTGAAAAAATAATCTTGAAATAAACTCATGAAAATACGAGTATTTGTACAAAGTCGAAGACTTAACTTGAGTGGGGTAGATTTCACCACATGAAACCTAACCGACCGTTCCAAATCAACTCTATGTTTAACTTACAACTGACATTTGCATGGGGCATGGGTAGGTGATGGTCATCTTGTTTCACATTTCTATAGACAATAACCATATATAAATAGGAGCAGGGTTTTTCTACGGCCTCCCGACATCTAACTCTACTGTAGAGTTTGGTTTGGAGATCGAACTGATCCGGAATGGAATGCTGCAGCGTGGAAAGGAATTAGGTTGTCCACTGCTTTCTCTAGAGGAATGAACTCATTTGACAAATCCACCTTTTTGTTGGACTAGGCGGAATGGTTAGGAGACAGACGACTCCATTCCGGGAAGCAAACTAAACGCCTTGAATAGGGTCGGATTTTAGATCAGATGATTCTGGACAGCTTTCACGACACAAACCAAACACACTCTAATATATTGGCTCCTTCGAATGGAGATCTTCTTGGCTGTCATGGTAATTGCACTAAGCTGCATAGTTCCATTGTCCAACAGCACTAGTTCGGTCTCAGCCTACGGTAATTATACTCTACTCTATGATCCTCTTTTTGCCCAAACTGAAAGTAATGGACTTCATAGTATCTTAATTATTTGCATCGCATAAGTCTATACTAACAGAAATTCTCTATTATACATACAACATCCAGATGTATCATATTAGAAGTTTTGGATATAGGAATCCTCAATCCACAAAAGCGTAATGTTCATATTTTTAAAGAAATGAATTGTTCCAATGAAATTGTTGAATATTTGTCAAACATATTTTTTTAGGTCTTATAGAACATGGAGGTTAATGCCTCCACATGATTGAAAATAGATGAAAACTCAAATGAAATGTAGTATCGCTTCTAACTAACCGGGTGCTCAACTCTTTTTTGTTTTTTTGAAGGAATGCCCATCGGCAACTTTATTGATTCATCTGAATAGTTACATCGTTCATCAAATACTCAAGAAGAAAACTAGGGGGTTCATCGACCCAAATACATGATTGTTTACTTGCAAAACATCTCCTAGCTATTTCATGAGAAACCTGATTAATTTTTTCCATGGGTATTTATTGACATGACAAATTAATTGTGGGGTTCCTTGTGGCGGAACCTGCTCATCCGAGTTCAAGTCCTCAACTTGGTACGGGTGCTCGTATTTTCCTGTATTTTTTCAGGATTTAACGGCGCTATGTTTTCAGTGTTAGGCGACGTCCCCGTTGACAACGAGGTGCCTATGGTGACTTCGTGAATCTTAAGATGTGTCAGCTCTCATAGGAGTAGAGTTTGTGTACGTGTGTTTATAGGTATGAGTGTGCGTGCGTGTTGTGGGTGTCTGCGTTGTACTATGTGATTAAAAAAACATGCCAAATTAATTTTTATCGTCGACATAATGTGATTTTTTTTAGGGGATCGACATAATGCGTTGAAAAATTGATGAGCAGCCGTGGGGCGAAGGGCCCAGAGATTCTAACCTTGACCACATCTGGGCCCATGTCAGCCCATTAACATGCCCCTAGTACGGTTGAGCTGTCCCACACTCACTGGCTCACTTGCATTTCTTGACCGACACCTGACCCCAAACCGTAGATACCAGCCGCCGCCGTTGACGGCCCTCCGGAGTCCTCTCCTGGGCTCCTCCTCGCCGGCGCCGCCTAGCGCGCTATCCGTCGTCTAGGAGATGGCAGGCCATGGCCAGCTCCTACCATTCACTGCGCCCAAGTGTGGCCACTGGTTGGGGGCTCGGTGCCAAACACCGGCGGCATGCTGTCAGTTGACGCTGTTAGTATGCACGCTCGAGTACTAACAACAATGGCTTTGAGAAATATATAATACCTAAGAATTCTGGGTGCAAATCAATACAACTGGAGTTTGGATACCCATAACAAAAGTGGGTGCAAGATACATAACCAATGATTGTGGAAGGCTGCTCAGCCTGGGTAATCCCTAGATGCCTAGCTTTTGTAGAGAGCAGAGTTCGCCGAGACATTCTGGCAGCTGGTGGAAGTCATGACAACCTAATATTTGGAGATCCGTGAGTGAGGTGAGCTGCCTGAATGATTTGGGGAGGCTACTTATGCCGTCACAATTATGTACCTCTAGAGTCTGCAGAGACGGAGAGCAGAGGTCATCCACCCACCTACTGTAAGAAATATCCATTGCTTTGAGGGCCCTGAGCGGCTGCATTGATGGTGCAGGGCTCAAACTACTGCAGTCGAAAAAGCTCATCGTTTCCAGGTAACGGAGTTCCCCCAGCCACTCCGGAAGCATACAGAGAGAGCTGCAGAATGAGATGCGCAGAGTTCGGAGGGATGCGAGACTCCGCACGCTCTCTGGCAGCTCGATTAGGCCATCGCACGACCTAATCTCTAAGGACTCCAGTACCGTCAAATGTTGCAGCAGCTCCCATCGGCACACAGATCCGTACAATGATGCTCCTGGTGGTGGTGCCATATCATTTAGTTCAAGTTCCTTTAGGCAGCTAAAACTAAAAGAAGACAATCCTGCACCACTGGAACTGGAAGGCAGTCCCAGCTGCTGCAAGTTGCTCCACCCCAAACTCTAAGTCATTCAGCGATGAAGGAAAGCATGGCACCACCATCAGTTTTGGACACCCTGATATAGCTAGAACTGATAGACGATTACCAATCTGCACTTGTTCCTCCTTCCACATCAGCCATGCCCCCCCCCACCCCTGTTACCATCCATACCACGCCCAAACTTGGCATTTCACCCATGATGAATAACTTCAGCAGCGAAGGAAATGGACCTCCGCTTATGCTTTTAAGAGAAGGCATATCACTAAGCATAAGCTTTTCCAAACAAGGAAACTCCGGTAGCCCCTCCAGTCGCTCCAATTTTGGGAAATCTGATAGTTCCATCTCGCACAACAGCCGAAAGCGAAACATCCTCATCCACTGCGGGGATTCCTGACCAGAATACCGGACAATTTTGAGGTTTTCAATTCCAGGCGGTGGTTCCAACCCTTCTAGATGACTTTCAGAGTTCACCCCCACATCACTTGCACAAATAAGTGTCAGGCTCTGTAAGTTTGTCTTCTGCTTCAACCATTCCTTGTGTGCAATATTTGGGTCCATACAATGTCTAATACCATGGATAGTTAGCTCCCTGCTAATCTTATTAATGTTTTCAAGCTCTGAGATCTTTGCATAATTTTCATCATCCTCCCCATAACAAATAGTCCCAGCTTTTCAAGTTGAGTAAGCTGACTAATCCCTTTTGGAATTCCTCGTAACTTTCCACATCCTTGCAGGTTCAGAACAACAAGCTTCTTCAAGTTCCCTATGCCTTCAGGCAACTCTACCAACTCAGAACACAAATGAAGGTCCAAACACTCCAGGTTTTCTAGTGCCGTGATACTTGATGGTAGCCTCTCAAGTTTGGTATTGCCTAGTCTCAGTACTCTTAGCCTTTTATTCCTGCTGATAGAGCTTGGTAAAGTTGCAAACTTATCACAACCAAAAAGGTCTATGCTAGAAATCATGATACAGTTGCCAATAGAATCTGGCAAACTTGTTAGATGGCAACAATATGACAAGTTAACCACTCTCAACTTCTGCAGCCTACCAATGGATTCAGGTAACTTGACAAGACTACTTGACGTTACATGAAGAGCTTGCAGACTCCATATTTCTGAAATAACCTCTGGAAGTGTTAAATATTTTAGTCTTGAAATGTTAAGGTACCTTAGATTTTTGGTCTGTAGTATGGCTGTGAGTGCTGATGTATGCACATTTTCCACAGTGATACTGCGCAAGTGTTTTGCTTTCTTCAATGACTTGCCAAATATGAAATCATCGTCTTCAGCAATATACATAGCACGTGCCTCTCTAAATGTATTTTTTGGCGGAAGATGTCTTGTGTGTTCTGTTATCGAAAAATACCGGCAGATCTTTGTGAAATCGACTGCCTTCTTCGTTCGGTATGACAAGTGAAATCTCATCACCCAAAATGGATCTGGCAAGATCATGCACCAAATCATGCATCTTACATTTAACTTTCTCATCATTTCCGTCCTTCACATCTTGTATAAAGTACATTTGCACAAGTTGACTAAAGTAATCATTGCCAATAATTTCTAGGTCCTTAACAACATCTTCTATGACCATATCATGAGCAATCCATTGGTCAATCAATTGATCTTTATCAATCAAGTCACCTTTAGGAAAAATTGAACATATTGTGAAACACTGCTTTAGATGGGATGGCATATTAAAATAGCTAAGCCACAAGCTGGCAGATACTTGATGTTCTCTACCCTCAACATCTAATAAATTACTCTCTTTTATGGCTTGCCATTGTTCTAATCGTTTCTTGACACGGAGCACCCCTGCAACAACTTTAATTGCTAGTGGCACCCCAACGCACTTGTTCACAATCTCTTTCCCAACTTCTTGAAATTCAGAGTAAAAATCTTTCACATCATTTCCAAAACTTTGCTGAAATAATTGCCTGCTGTAATCCTCATAAGGATGGCAAGTCTATTAGTGTTGTAGATTCAACTTCTTGAGCAACTTTTTTACTACGAGTAGTGAGTAGAATCCTGCTTCCTTTCGTTCCTGGTGAACCATTGTTCACATATACCATGAATTCTTCCCATTGAATACGGTTTTCATTCCAAACATCATCCAATACAAGAAGGAACCTATTGTTGGTCAACTTGTCTAAGATTTTCCTGGCCATATTCATCAGGGAAAGGCCTTCAGAATTCTCATCAGGAATAGCGTCAAATAGCTTCTTGATCAGTTTTTTGACATCAAATTCCTGAGACACATGAACCCATAGTCTAACAGTAAAATGACTCTTTATAGTTTTTGCATCATCGAAAACCAACTGAGCTAGGATAGTTTTCCCAGAGCCACCAAGTCCAACTATAGAAACTATATTGATTCTCTGTTGGTCATCTGTCTCTAGCAGCTTGGATATTGTTTGGTGCATCACTTGTTCTCTTCCAATTATTTTTGCCCCATCCACGAAGGGCAGTGTTTGCTTACTCACAGCTGTATTGTTTATATGGCTAACAGGATTGTTGCCAACCACTGAATTCAAAATACTTCTTTGCTTCACAAGGACATCAATTGTTTTTTTGATTTTCTTGATCTTTTTGGCAGCCTGGCATTGAAATATAAATGCTTTTGGCTTTGTGTGCAGGTATTTGGACACAAATCCAGCATCACTATCAGCCTCATATTTTTCAGCCTTCAGTTGAAACTCATCCACAACATCATCAACATCCTAAGCAACATCTTTCAACTTTTTGAGCAATGGAGCATCCCCCATAACTCTGTCTCCTGCTTCTTCCAGCCAGATATTGATCTCCTGAGCTAGATCCCGGAGGTCGTCTTTCACACCCACTATAGAGCTGTACTCTTTGAAGACCAGTGGAGCTAACTTGTTGCCCGCAAGCTTCAACATTCCAGATACTGCTGCGGAGACTGCAGTAGCTTCCATGCCAACCATGTTTTTGTAAGCGCCTTCTTTCGCACAGATTACCTATAAATTGAATTTTCGAAATAAGCAGGATTTCTGTAAAGCAAAAGAGTCCGGTATACAGTTCTAGACTGCTAGTACGTTTCTTGTGCAATTATCTGTTTCCCATACCTGACCTGCGCAAACAAGTGTTGCCAGCAGCTTCCCTTTAGCCTCTTGATGAATGCTGGTGTAGTGCTTCTTAATTTACAGGCAGGCACTTACAGCGTTCAAGGAGACGAAAGGTGAGCGAGGTCATGGATTGTCATGATTCAGGAACACTTGGTAGGGCTGAAGGAAGGGAGACCTCAGCGAGTGTTCCAAAACGAGAGCCTGAGAACAGATGGAATATTTTAGGTAAGCAAGAAGCGAATCGAATCGAATAGAGAAAGGAAAGGTGGATAAGTTAACGAGAGTAAGATGAACATATAGACCGGAGCATCGAGTACAGAAGAATCAGTTAGCGTCCTTCAGTACCTGTCAAGAGTCGCGGAAATTACTGGTGTATAAGCAGAAAGTGTGGAGAGCGCTGGTGTGCAAACTGGATGTCATATTCTTGGTTACAAGTATAATACGCAATCCCTCTGTTCCAAATTATAAGATATTTTAATTTTTTTTAGATTTTTAGTTTTTATTATGCATTTAGATATACACTATGTCCAGATGTATAATAAAATCAATGTATTTAGAAAAATTAAAATGTTTTATAATTTTTTTTAAAATGTCTTGTAATTTGGAATTGAGGAAATATAATAGTGTAAATAATACCTGGATCTTAGACGAGGTGTGCTGCTGCTTTTGCCTCTGACATCTCCTAATTAAATGCTCTGCTTCTGAGTGAGATCAAATGTGTGTGCAAATCGAAACTGGATTAGCACAAGGCAGGCGCAACTGAGATTATTTGAGCCTCTGAATCTATGTGGCCGGATCTCCGCTAGCGCCCCGTGCTAGCTTCCTTGCGATTTGTATGAAGTCGCTAAGCAAGTGCAGGGCAGAAAATGTGGACGGCTAAAGAACGTCCCCAGGACAAAAACAGGATCTTGGCGTGTCAGGAGATTCAAGGCCTGTTTAGATGGTGGCCTCCTAGGCAGTTGCCTGTTAGGCAAATGATTCTGACCACAGGCGCGCGCACACACACACATTAAAAAAAAAACCCCGGACGCCTGGCGTTAATAATGGATGGCACGCATTATTGCATTTCTTAGACTTGGCCCAGGAAAGCAAAGCATAGAGAAAGAAGTCAGGAACTGGAAATATCTTCCCTCCGCTGGATGCCTTGTATCATTAATTCGATGACGATGCATGACACCGAAATAAAGAGCCAAGAGCTATAATTTGTCTACAAATAAATCAATATCTAAAACATTGAATGATCCACCAGTCTATTTATTTTTCTCGAAATCTCCTAACATGTACTGCACCCCCTTCCATTTACAATCTAATGGTGAGTTTCTGCAGTTAGATGTGTGTAGTAAATGATACAAGGAGTGTGTTATTGAAATAATCACCGATCAATGTACGACTACTCCAATTAATAAAGAGTAGTATGGTCTTTTCTATATTATATTAATCTATTCATAACTTGCTAGAAATCTATTTATTCGGAGAGGAGGCAGAGCAATGACGAGAAGGGACATCGAGAGCGCATGCGTTCAGACCAGAAGGGACGGGCTTCAGTTCGCTAGAGAGAAAGGAGTGGCCAAACTACAGCTTGAGACGGACTGCCAAGAGCTGGTCAGTCTGTGGTCGCGGGGGCGAAACCAGAGGTCGCATATTGCACCAATCATCAGGGAATGCATAGAGATTAGTTCAGGTTTTGCTGATTTTGCTTTGCTGTATGTGCCGCGAGCCCGTAATCAAATTGCCCATCCATTAGCAAAGCAGGTCTCAGATGAAGACATGTTGGGTGAGTGGCATTTAGCCCCAACTTGCATCTTTTGGGGCATTCACATATTCATATGGGTTAAGTCCCCTAGAAGAGGCCCAGCTAACGCTATTGGAGTGGCATGTAAAACTCACTCCCACTGAGGTGTCGCTTGTAAATTTTCGCTTGCCTATATAATACCAAGATCATGAGGGCAAGGGGCTCTCCTCTCTCACTATTTTTTCGCAAACCCTAGCCGTCGCCTCACTCTCCCCCCTCGCATGTTGGAGCCTTCGTTGACGGACCTTCTCGTGGAACCTCCAAACTAGACCATCTTTGTAGAGCCTTCTCTGGGGAGCCTCCGTCATGGAGCTTTCTCCGCAGAGCCCTTATACAAAACAATCATCAAGCCTTCGTCCGAGACCTTCGTTCCGGGCCTTCGCCCCGAACCTCTGTCGAGAGACCTTCCCCGGCCGGGCCTTCGTTCGAAGACCTTCACCGGGAGCCTTCTTCGGCCAGCCTCCGCCGGGAGCCTTCTCTGGCCGGGCCTTCGTCGGAAAAATTCAAGTTTTTCTCATAACAACAACCTTCGTCAGTGCAGTTGGAAAATCAGATTTTTCTTAGAACAACAACCTTCGTCTGTAAAGCCGAAAAATGGGAGCATCAGCCTTCGATCAGTTCCATTAGCCTTCGTCTCTGAAGCCACGAATTCAGCTTTTTTCGGAGCAACAGCCTTCGTCGGCAACCTTCGCTAGCAAAGGCAGCCTACGTCGGTTGCCTTGGTCAGCAACCTTCGTCAGCAGAGCAAAGGTACCTCCGGATGAAGGTAAGACTTCGTTACACCTTCACGAAAAGTTGGCTAAGATAATACCTTAGATTAAAACTTCACATACAAAAAAAATCATCATCACCACCAAAGGCCCCTGAAGCCTTCGACCGATTCTGTTTTATTAAAAAAAATCAGTTAATCGCCAAAGCTCCTAAGGCCTTCCGCCATTTTTTTTAGTTTAACAAAAAAGAAAAGATAAGTACTGAGGTTTCCAGCGAGCCTTCGGTCATCCTTTTAAAAAAAACAAAAAAAACAGCCAAGCCTGCGGCTAAGAATCCAAAACATTCGTAGCAACAATTGGGTTTCGAATTCCACACATCGGCAAGGGAACCTCCACATGCTAACCAAAGATCTTGCAAGTGCTTGTGTGTTAATCATATGCAGGTCGTCATTTTTTACAACAATTCGTACGCGAAGGCCAGGTCCTCCTAGTATATTACTCCAAAGCTATTGGCAAGCTGCGCCGTGTATTGGATGCTCTCGGTCCCAGCCGAGATGCATGCGCAAAGGTGCTGGTGCTGGCTACACGGAAGGCCGAAGGTGGTCTTGTGCGGAGGGTCAAGTCGGAAGCCCACCTCCGCCGCCAGATAAGTTAACTGCCACTCACCTTGCAAATTACAGCACTTCACACCATGGTTCACCAAAGATAGCCTTCGCCCGTTTTTGAAAAACAAAAGAAAACAATCGAAGGTCCTAAAGCCGTCGACCATATTTGTTTAAAAAAAAGAAAAAAGAAAGAGAGAGAAAAATCTGCAAAATCGACCAAGTAACTAACCATTGAATCCAGAACCTCCCTCGGGGGGCATCTTCCTTACATGCTAACCAAGAGACCATGTAACTGCTTACATCAATGTGTGCAAGTCTATTATTGTTATTAACTACTTTGAACCGAGCTGTGAATCCACCAGCACCTTCTACTCAATTTTGAGATCACCCTGACCTCAATTTTAATTCCTCTGCGAAGGTCCAGGCCTTCACGGACCTTGGTTTCTGTTTCTACGCGAAGGTCCTGCTAGTTATCCCCCGTTTCAAAATACCGAAACCTTTGGCTCTATACTACTTTTATACGTATCACTAATCTTTTTCATGTGTCAAATATATATATATAAGGCTATTCTGCAGCTGGTCATAAAATAACTTATTCTATAGCCACCTTGATTTACCATAATGTTTGTACCAATTTACGATAACATGAATATGCATTTACGATACTCGTGTTACTATAACTCACGGTGATATTTACCATAATGTTATAGTAAATCACTTAGTAAAGAGTTACTATGATCTGGTAAATTAGCATAGTAATTATCGTAACTCAAAATAGCCACAGAATAAGTTATTCTATGGCCAGCTGCAGAACAGTAGTTATATATATATATATATATATATATATATATATATATATATATATATATATATATATATATATATATATATATATATATATATATTCATGTCATCTTGCAGGAACCAAACTATCGGTGTTTCGAGTTGCCACCGACTAGTAAATTTCTAATATTGCGCGTCTGGCTCGGATGGTGTGTTAAGAGGACACGAGGTTTATACTGATTCGGACAGAATGTCGCTACATCCAGTTCGTTGTGTTACTCGTGTTACTAGTACTGAAAGTTCGTAGTAGGAGTTACAAATAGTTGAGAGATGGACAGTTCCCAAGTCTCTGGTGAGAGGAGCTAACGGGTGCCGAGAGCTCGGTCGCTTCCTGGGCTATATGCTTATGTGTTCATGATCGGTTCGGGGTTCAATGGGTTCCAGTCCGAATCAATGCGGTGTGTTACGATACCCCTTTATGGGACGCCCTGCTTTTCCTTTTATAGGCCAAGGGAAAACATGGGATATAGTGGAGGGAAAAGAGAAGAATGAGAAGGAGAAGAAGTCCTCCAGGATCGTCGGGTCCTTCTTTTCCTTCACGTGGGTCCCGCCAATCCTGTAGACGTCAACAGGGATAGCTCCACGTCGCGACCCTGTCCATCACTGGCGCCATGCGCAGGCGTCGTCTCCCGGTCGTGGCGCTCCACTCCGTCCTAGTGGACGTCGTGGTGAACCAACGCGCCTGTCAGTCCTCATACAAGGGTTAGGCAGAACAGCACTGGTACGCCCGATGCTATTCCTGATGTGAATCCCCAGGTATGGCCCATCATGGCCATGGATTATATTGGGGCGTGCCGGTCACCTCCCTGGTGTCAGAGTTTTGACCCAGGCCCATTCGCTTGGACCTAGAGTGGTTGGCGGCGGTATGGGTCTCCGTCGGGCGAAACAGATCCCCCGGCCTCGGGGTCG